GTCGTGAGTCGGGGCGCGGGTCTGCAGCCGCGGGTGGGTTCCGTGGGCGCAGCCTGTCCCGGCCGCGCTCCCCTCGGCTTCGGCGCAGCCTGTGGACCTCTCCCGAGTCTCTTCTCTCCCGCTGCGGTGCCTGACCCCCAAACCCAGCCTCACCCCCCGCCCTGTCCCGACCCCGGGTCTCTTCCGCGGCTGTAAATGTCTTTAATTACTCCGGGGGGAATCGGTAAAAATCTATGAAGCCAAAACTACGGCCTGTGGCAAAAGCAAATCTCTTCCCGTAGTCGGCAGGATTCGAACCTGCGCGGGGAGACCCCAATGGATTTCTAGTCCATCGCCTTAACCACTCGGCCACGACTACTGGCGATGCTAATTTTGGCAGGGAGAGTCTATGTAGACTCTGCACTTGCCGTGCTCACCCCGGCTAGGATCGCAGGAAAACACAGCCAGGGCCGTGCCTGTAAACCGGGCTTCGAACGTTACAGCGCCGGTCGCTCTCGTGGTTTGGAGAATTCTTAGAACCCTTTGGATTCTGTCACATGAAAGTGCTAGAGACACTTTGGTCTCCAGGGCGAGTCTGGGATGGAGAGGGGAGAGGGAGGGAGGGCTGGAACCGCAGGCGGCTGGCCAGCCTCCCACCTTCCCGGCCCCCTTCCCGGGTTCGCCTTGACAGGCAGCTCCCTAGACGCTCTTCTCTCATTAGCAGTTTAAATGTGGCATGCATGGTGAGACTGTCTCACTAGGTTGTAAATCGTTTCTTTGAAAAGGAATGTAAACCCACCGTATTTTCAATTCCTATGCTCTGCTCTGAACAGGTCGTTCTCTGTTTTGTCCGTTTTTCACAGTCTGACCATTAGCCCAGGCTAGCCTTAGAACTTGAGCTCCCTCCTACGTCAGCCTCCCTGGTGTTGGTTTGTATCATAGCCCTATTTTATAAGGCCACTACGTCAACATAGCTAATTGCATTTCTCAATTCTAAAGTTGAATTAGCAAAGAATCTGGCACTCTGAACTCTGGAGACATTTGGGCCAGATAATTTCATAGTTTCGTTTAATTCTTTCGAAATATTTTTAATTTTCTGAGAGCAAGATGCAGTGGCGCGAGTGAGTGAACAGTAGGTGGTAGCTTACCAGTGGCCTTTAGTGCAGCCATTATTTAAACGAAATTCTCTAAATCTACAGTTCTAGTAAAGGTAATGTTTAGCACATTCTAGCTATCTCTCTGAATGGTTTTGTTGCTGCTGAGGCTGCTTACATCATAAAATTCTTAAGAACTATGGGTTTTTCCTGGGCTTGGACCTGGCAGTCAATCCGTTGTCACTAGGACTGCCTCCATGGATTAACCTGTGGTCGTGGCTTTGCGTTCATCCTCCCAGGGGTCCCGGGATGGTTGAGGCTGTAGACAGTTTTTTACACACACTCCACGCCCAAAGCATTTCTTTTCCCCATGCTTTTCAGCTGTCCTGACAGCTCTTTTGATTGCTCTCCTCGCTTTTCTCAGACTGGTCTTTTCTTACTCAGTCACGCAGAGGAAACTTCTAATCCACCATTTTACCTTCGAAGTCTTTTTTTTTTTTTTTTAACGGAAAAGCCTTTCTAAAGATGTACTTTATTCGTTTTAATTATGCATACGGGAGCATGGCTGTGAGTGCGTGCACTCGTGTTCAGGTGTCTGGAGTGGTGGGCGTCAGGGTGCTTGGAGTAGGACTGCGGTGGGAGGAGCAACCTCCACCTTGAAAGTCTTCTCATCAGTTTTATAAAACGTAAAAAAAGAACAAGGTGTTTTGTACACTCTCATGATTGTACATTGAATTGACTCCTTCAGAACAGAGGAAGAAGCCCCTTGAAAAGGCCCCACTTAGGGCTGCTGTGAGGCTCAACTGTGAGCGAGTCTGCTCTTCCCGAGGACCTGGGTTCGATTCCCAGCAGTCATCTTGTGTGACTGACACCTGCCTGTAACTCCAGGTCTAGGAGGATCCAACATCGTCTGACCTTCACAGGTGTTCATGTGTGTGTGCGCACACGCGGGAGTTAAAAAATAGTTTTTGTTCTTTTTAAAGGCTGCTCTAGCAACTTTATTCTAGGGGAAGTAATAACTAGTTGCTCTCCAACTGATAGGATTAAATTAAGGATTTGTGAATCCTTGTCCCAAGGTTTTGAAAACATTCCGATCTTCATATTTCATTTAGGAGAATAGGCAAGGGCCGCAATCTAATTCACATGGTGAAAGGAGCATGTAATATATCATTATATGTATTTAGTTTCCAAAGATGTTTAAAAAGGTTTGAGAATTTCATACAGGATTTTTTTTTATCATATCAATTCCTGTCCCTCATGCTCTTTCTTTCTCTTAAGAAAACAAAAATGAAAGAAGCTGCTACTGAAAATGATGCGTATGTATGGTTTGTGTTAGCCAGCTTCTCCTGAGCATGAAGCCTGCGCTAGAGTGTGGTTGATGTGCTCAGTGTCATTCCATTGAAGAGAACAGATTCCCTGCCCAGCAGCTGTTATTTTGAAATGCCTTCCCGACCAGGGGTGGGATTCTGTGCTCTTTCAGCTGCTCCATGCTGGGATTTGGTCTGGCTTGAGTTTGTGCGTGTCCCGTGTGTGCAGTCACAGTCTCTGAGAGTCCGTGTGTGCGTCCGCCCCCTTGGGTCTGGAAAAGGCTGCTTCCTTACAGCCGTGCACCCCCTCTGACTCTTAGACTCTTTCTTCCTTGTGCCAGCTAGTTTTATGGCAAGTTGACCCGAGCTAGAGCAGCGATTCTCACCCTTCCTAATCCTGTGATGCTTTAATACAGTTCCTTAGGTTGTGGTGACCCCTCAACCATAAAATTATTTTTGGTGCTACTTCATAACTGTAATTTTGCTACTGTTATGAATCATAATGTAAATATCCATGTTTTCTAATGGTCTTAGGCGAAAGGAGGGAACCTCAATTGAGAAATTGCCGCTACAAGATCCAGCTGTAGGGCATGTTCTTAATTAGTGGTTGATGAAGGAGGGCCCAGTCCATTGTGGGTGATACTATTTCTGGGTAGATGGTCCTACGTTCTGTAAGAGAGTAGGCTGAGCAAGCCATGAGGAACAAGCTAGTAAGCAGCACCCCACCATGGCCTCTGCATCAGCTCCTGCCTCCAGGTTTGAGTTCCTGTCCTGACCTCCTTCAATGGTGAACAGCGGTTTGGAAGCATAAGCCAAATAAACCCTTTCCTCTCTATGGTGGCTTAAAAGAAAATGGCCCACACAGGGAGTGGTACTATTAGGAGGTGTGGCCTTGTTGAAGTAGGTGTGGTCTTGTTGGAGGAAGTGTGTCACTATGGGGGCATGTTCTCAAGTTATGCCCAGTGTTGTAGTTCACTTCCTGTTCCCTGTGGCTTGAGATGTAGAATTCTCAACTCCTGCTGTAGCACCGTGTCTGTCTGCAGGCCACCATACTTCTTGCCACGACAGTAACGGACTAAACCTCTGAAACTGTAATCCAGCCCTAATTAAATGTTTTCTTTGATAAGTGTTGCCGTGGTCATGGTGTCTCTTCACAGCAACAGAACCCTAACTAAGACACTCCCCAACTTACTTTGGTTGTTTATCACAGCTATAGAAACCCTATCTTGGACCTCCTCCCCCTTCTGAATAGACTACTGAGTGGAGGAGTGTGATAAAGACTTCAAGGCTGAGCACGCCAAAGTCTCCGACTCGCTGAACAATGTTCGGTTGTGGATCTTTGTGTTAATTACCACAACTACCAGAAGTTTCTTTGATGAGAGTTGAGTACTACTCTGATCTATGAGTATAGCAGCCTATCATTAGGTATTGCTGTGTTCCTCTATCAGAATAATAGTATAACTTTTCCTCTAGGGCCCAGGACCCTAGTCTCAGGTTCTTCATTAACAGTATTAAGTATAGCTTTCATCTCACACAGTGGGCCTTATATTCCAATCCAAAAGTGTTTGGTTACTTGCCTAGTATTTGTTTCACAATCATACCAGATGGCATGTAAGGCTTGCAGGTTGGTTGTTATTCTAGCAATGTTTGTAACTGGGAGATTAATGATTACTTTTCTTCTCTGGTAGTATGGGTAGCACTTGCTAACATTTTAACACTAGCCAGTAAGTGTGAAGCTTCCAGTTATGTACCAGCTAGATTTCTCCATCTTCAATGCCATAAGTGTCTGGCATCTTCAGCAATTCAGCAAGAATCTTACCATCAGGTTGTGGGAGGTAACCAACAGAATTAGCAATAGCTTGTAGTCTTTGGGGTGTGTGTGTCTACGAGACCCCTTTTGACCAATGACCTGAAAAGATGTATTTCCATTCCTGGTTTAGAGGTTTTATTTGATAGCATATGATGTCTAGTTGGTGCATTGTCATCTTCATTATATGATGCCTCCATTTGTATTGCTTTTGTATATGAATATATTTTAGGAAGCTTCTGCAATAGTAGATTTCCATACAGCTTTTCAGAAGGACTTTAGCGTTAGCTGTCCCTCCCCAAATTCCCTCCTCTACCCTCCCTCCCATCCGCATCTCTTCACCATCCTGTTCTAATGCCCCCTGTATCCTTTATAACACCACATTCTATACCCCTGTCCGAGAAGATTTCCTTCTCTACCCTTGGTCCCTTACTAGATGTAGTGGTTTGAAAAAGAATGGCCCCCATAGACTTGTATATTAGAGTGCTTAGGCATCAGGGAGTAGCACTACTTGGAAGGATTAGGAGGAGTGGCCCTGTTAAGGCAGCCTTGTTGGAGGAAGTAGGAAACTGTGGGTGGGCTTCGAAGTTTCAGAAGCCCAAGCCAGGCGCCCTCTATCTTCCTGCTGCCTTCAGATCTGGATGCAGAACTCTCCGCTCCTTCTCCAGCACCGTGTTGTCCTATGTGACTTCATGCTTGCCACCATGAGGATTGTTGGGACCAATTAAGTTTTGGCCTTCAGCTGCTCTTCCCTGCTATAGCCTTCTAATTGAAGTTACTAAAAGCTGTGCCTCCTCTAGAGGATCAGAGGATGGGATTTTCACCTGTTGGCCATTGACTACAGGGTATTTAAGCCTCCATGGTGCTATTAAAGAAGGGCCTTTGTACCAGCGATTGGAGGTCCGTGAGTCGGTCTGTCTCTGCGTGTGTTTCCTCAACCTCCAGTCCCTTGCCCGAAGCTGGATTCTAGCACATAGAGCGCAGACGGGTGTGGGGTGAACAGCAATTGAAGGTCCCTCTGAAATCGGGAACTCGGGTACGCTGAGAGGTCTCGGAAGGTGAGGATGGGTGGATTGGGGTATGTGTTAATCCTGACGTCCAGAATATCCCCCCCCCCCCCCCCCCGCCGAGATAAAGAGGTAAGTGGACCTTCCTAGCCTAAGGGACATATTGAGGAGTTAAGATGGGAGCTGTTGGCAGTATCCCATAAGGTGGATGGAAGAGTTGTGGAACCTAAGAGAGCTGTGTCAAGAGAGGATTCTCAGAGACCAGTGCCCACTTAACCGTGAAAAAGATCTTTGTTGGTGGTATTAAAGAAGACACGGAAGAATATCACCTGAGAGTTTATTTTGAGCAGTATGGGAAAATTGAAGTGATTGAAATCATGACTGACAGAGGCAGTGGAGAAAAGAGAGGCTTTTGCTTTTGACCATGACTCTGTGGACAAGATTGTTATTCAGAAATACCATACTGTAAACGGGCACAGCTGTGAAGTAAGAAAAGCCCTTACTTCAGCTAGTGCAGGAGATGGCTAGTGCCTCGTCCATCCACAGAGGTCCAAGTGGTTCTGGTCCAAGTGGTGGTTGTGGAGGCGGGCAGAGTCAGCCGTGCCAGCAGGCACTCGGAGCGTCTGTGAGATGCTCCAAGCCAGGCAGGAGCAGAGCCGTTCACTTCCTTTTCTTCTCCACTCGTCTGTACTTAGATCTTTCTTTGTCTTTGGATTTCTCTGGACTGCTGCTTCGGTCTCTCTTTCTACTCCTTTTCCTTTCACAAGGATCTGTCTGGTACTTGGGTTTGTGGCTGTTGCTATAGTGACCGTCCCTTTCTCGAGATCGGCTACGACTGCGGTTCTGACGTCGGTCTCTCTTTTCACTCTTCTGTTTCTCCCAACAGCTTTCTTTATCTTCATAATGGCCAAAGCCCATTTCCCTGTAGATATTCTGATTAGGATTTTTGATTGGCATGTATTCTTCATCTTCCTTTTCTTCAGAGCAGTGACGGGTTTTCTTTCTGTGTTTTCTGGTCTGTGAGTGACTTGACTTTGAATCTTCTGCCTGCTCATCTAGTATAAGATCATATTTTGCATCCTGTTTGGGCTTTACTTTTCCTTTCAAAACCAAATTGGATGGTTTATCCTGTTCCTTTTCATACTCCTTGAAATCACTCTTGGTATATTTCCCACCTTTCCCTTTCCATTTCACCTTTGCAACAGACTGGCTAAAATCCACATGTATTCTCCTGTCATCTATAAGTACGTTATCCATTTTGAAGAATGCTTTCTCGCAGTCTTCTTCCTTCTCAAATTCAATGAAAGCATAACTGAGGGATTCTCCTGTTTTCCAGTCTCGGATGACGTCACAACTTCTTATTGGCCCAAATCTTGAGAATATTATCTCCAGGTCCTCACCTGTGGTCACTGGATTCAGTTTACACACAAACAAAACATTCTCTGGAGGTTTAATATCTGCATCGGGTAAGTCTCCCACCATCTCTAGAAGAATAGCTTGAGTTTTAGCCTCTTTTTCTGCTTTTATTTCTTCTACTTCTTCAGCTGATCTTCCTTTGAAGTCATCAATTTCTTCATCCGCTCTGATTCGACCGCTATCCAGTTGTTCCCTTGTAGGTTCTGGTGATCGATCAGGAATTAATAAATCAGGAGGGTCATCAAACGGATCATCTAAAATCACTGTATGATTTATCCTGATATCTTGATATGGTACAAAATCCTTGTCGACAAAGGTCTCATTGATTTTCTTAACTATGTCCATGCCTTCTGTCACTTCACCAAACACTGTATGAACACCATCAAGGTAATCTAGATTTTCTCCTGTAGTAATAAGAAACTGAGATCCATGTTGATCACTGCCATTGTTCACCATGGACACAGTGCCTTTCTTCTTGTGCTTAATCCGTGGCACTTTTTCTGCCTCAAAAAACCTTGCTTGATCCCCATACAGTTGTCCAAATATAGACTCTCCTCCACGGCCAGTCCCTGTAGGATCTCCTGTCTGTATGATAAAATCCCTCTGTACATTGTGAATAAGGCAATAATTGTAATATTTTAGTTTGCACAACTTCAGAAAATTCAAGCATGCGTGCGGCCGCTCCTTGGTGTACAAGTCGATAACCATGTCGCCCAGAGTGGTCTCCAGGAGAACCGCCATGGCACTGGCTTCTCCTCCTTTCGGTTATCGTGAACTAGTTCAGCATAGTTCAAAAAAAGAGTAAAGGAATAAATAAACGCCCAACTGTGCTCTCTCCTGGTGTGATATCCTGAAGAGAATGCTTCATAAGCCACCTAGATGCCCAAGACCTGGCATCGGATGCCTCTCAGTCAGTCTTCTGTGCGCTCCTGCCATTCACTGCTGACGTGCTGAAATGCTAGAGAAGCCACGAGAGCACCATGTCAGCAGAACAAATAAAGAGCCTCCGTTCCTTGATGGGCCTCTTTCTTCCTCATAATCTTGCCTTTTCATTGCCTTTATTAAGCATGGTGTATGCTGAGGGCCTAAGAAAGGAAAGAAGAAATGATTTGAGCGTCGAGTTTGCGGCAACTATAAACTTCATTAAGAGTAATGTGTGTGTGTGTGTGTGTGTATATATATATACATATATATGTATATATATATATTCCAAATACTCAATTCAAAATAAAATATTTTCTGGTAGAAATAAAATTACTTAAAATAACAAGAGTATAAAAGGTTAAATGGAAAGGGAAAGGTGGGAAATATACCAAGAATGATTTCAAGGAGTATGAAAAGGAACAGGATAAACCATCCAATTTGGTTTTGAAAGGAAAAGTAAAGCCCAAACAGGATGCAAAATATGATCTTATACTAGATGAGCAGGCAGAAGATTCAAAGTCAAGTCACTCACACACCAGTAAAAAACACAGAAAGAAAACCCATCACTGCTCTGAAGAAAAGGAAGATGAAGAATATATCAACCTATCAATCTATGGGGACGTGATCTCTTTGCAGAGATGGGGGCAGTCTTAACAACACAGCCTACAAAGGTGTGCCCCTGGAAAGCCAACTCGGCGATGAAAGCTATGGATGGCTAGCCTGTTGGCTAGGGTGAGAGGAGTTGTTTGTGTTTTTCCTCCAGGAACGGACAAGCCCATTTGGGTACCAGAGCGATATGTTCGGGCTGTGGAAAATGATGAGAAAGGATCCTGTGATGAGCCTGAGAATGACACCTGTCATTTTCTTGAGCCTCCTGGTGAGTCCCAATCAAGCGGAAAGCACTGTGTGAAGCCCGGTAAGGAACCCCCTTGTATTGATCAGTGAGCCAAGCTAGTTCTTTGTATTCATCTATTCATCTTTTTATTCCTCCAACTATACAGCTGGAACTGCTTTAAGCAATATGGCGATAGAACAGGCTTCTATTAATCAAACCTTTTCCTTTGCGAATGCTTTATGCTTTGTTACATTTTTTGGGCTACGAATATTACTTTAAAGGAATCCTATACAAGGGAGTGTAGTTCCTATCTTTCTTTTTTGGAATATTTCTCTGAGAGCCCAGGCACTATTAAATCCCGTGTTTTAGTTTTCTTTCTTTTTTCTTTTCCTTTTTGTAGTATGGAATAGCACCTTTGGGGGAAAAGATATTCTTGGTTGTTCTTTCAGGAACTGTGGCCTGAGCGTCTGCTGGGATGACCACTCCAGTGCTGCCTTGTTGGTTCGGGTACCAGTCATCATACCACTGCCAGTTACCAAAAAGGCTAAGCAGACTGAGACGACCCTGTATTGAGAGAAACGAGATTCTGGAGAGACAGCTGCAGTGGTTGCTGTCATCGCGGCGTCTGCTGCTGCAGCCATGGTCGCAGGACCGGCAATGGCACAAACATCATTGGTGTCGGACACCGTGGATAAACTGGCGAGACAAGTCAACGATGCTCTCCAGACTCAGAATGTCCTGAATGTCCACACTAAATTTGGACTTTCAAATTTAAATCAAGAGACTGCCCTATTGTAGGAGCAGGTGGACTTATGGCTAGTACAACAAATATCCTGTTCACACTTTTATCATTCCATTTGTGTGACATCTGTTAATATTGCTAATGCCTCTTATGTGGTGAAACAACTCAATGGTTACTTTAATAGCCCTTGAAATGTTAAAATTAGTACACTAGATTGTAACTGTTTTAGCCAAAGGGTTGGTAGAATGCCATAGCCCAAATGGGAGGCTGGGTCCAGTGGTAACTGGGGATCCTATTGCTGGCAATCTTAACACCTTTTGCCATGGGCATTCATCTCTGAATCCTGTGTAAGATCAGACAACCCATGAGAATGCAGCATATGGTCACTTAGCAAGTCCTTCTGAGCCTGTTGGCCAGTAACTTGAACGTACTCCAGGTTTGGTTGCAAATACTGCACCAACAATGAAGACTCCTCCGTAGACGGGCAACTTCTACAGAAGAGGACCTGCCTAAGACAGGGAAGGGGCCTCCCAGAGACGGGTAACGGTTTATTACTCTTCTGAGATGACCTAAGACAGGAGGGTCTTCTGTTTCATAAAAAATTTAGGGAGGAGATGTTGGGACCAATTGAGTCCTGGCCTTCAGCTGCTCTTCCCTGCTAGAGCCTTCTAATTGAAGTTACTAAAAGCTGCGCCTTGCCTAGAGGATCAGAGGATGGGATTTTCACCTGTTGACCATTGACTGCCGGGTATTTAATCCTCCATGGTGCTATTAAAGAAGGGCTTTGTACCAGCGATTGGAGGTCCGTGTTTCTGTCTCTGTGTGTGTTTCCTCAACCTCCAGTCCCTTGCCCGAAACTCATGAACTGGGTTCTAGCGCTTAGACTGCATGGGGAGGGGGGGATTTGCAGTGCGTGGCAGTGGATAAGGGACTAAATCTCTGAAAATGTAAGAAAGCCCCAATTATAAATTATTTTTTTATGAGTTGCTGTGGTCGTGGTATCTCTTCACAACAATAGACTAAGATACTAACATGTAAGTGCCTAACATCTGTGACTATGTGGATTGTCACACACACAAAGCTTAAAAGATAACATCCACAAAAAAACATACAATATTTGTCTTTTGGGGTCTCAGTTACCTAACCAAGGATGATTGTTTATAGCTCCATCCATTTATTTGTGGATTTCATTTCTCCAACGTATAATTCCATTGTATGAATGACTACATTTTCATTATTCATTGATTATTCATTATCCATATTTCATTATTCGTTATCAGTCGATGGGCATTGTGGCTGTTTCCAATTTCTGGCTATTATGACCACAGCAGTCATGGACATGGATGAGCAGGTATCTCTGTAGTAAGATAGAGAGACCTTTGGGGATATGTCCAAGAATGGTATGATTGGACCTTGTGGTAAGTCTGTTTTTAGCCTTTTGAACCCTAACACCGACTTTCACAGTGGCTGGACCATTTTGTATTCCCACAAGCAATGAATAAATGTTCTCCTTCCCCCACATCCTCCCCAACATCTGACGTGATTTATTTTAATCTTGAACATTCTGACTGCGATAAGATGAAATCTCAAAGTAGTTTCATTTTGCATTTCCCTGATGACCAGCGATATTGTGTTGGCTAATTTTCTGTCATTTGGGAAGACAGAACCTCAACTGAGAAAATGCCCCCAAGAGATTGGCTAGTGGGAGAGCCTATGGTACATTTTCTTGATCGATGGTTGATTTGGGAGGTCCCCCTCATTGTGGTCAGTGCCACCTCTTAGGCTGGTAGTCCTGAGCGCTCTAAGGAAACAGGTTGATGGCCAGCAGGCACGAATCCTGTGGGCAGGCCGCTCTACCACCACCACCACCACCACCCATTGGACTCTAACCTACAAGACCCACTCCACCACCCAAACCTACCGAACCTACCATTCTCCCCTGGCCAGCCCCCCTCCCTTAACCTCAGCAGCCTCTAGAGGCACAAGACCTCCTGCTCCAATTGGAAGAAGAGGCAAGTGACTGACTTCCCAGTTAAACTGCCCCAGTCTTTTAGGTCCTAAGCCCCAGGGTACATCCTGTGCCCCTCCCCTTCCATCTCAGCCCCAACATCAGCCAGCAGATAAGAGTCCTCTGGCAGGTCTCTTTACCAATGCTGCCACCCATTGAACTCCGTAACATACAAAACCCACCAGACCCATCATCCTTACCCTGTCCAACCATCCTCAGTAACATCAACAACCTCTAGAGGGACAAGCTCCACCTATACCTCTCTGCTACCAAATGCCACCTACCCCCAGCAGCCTCCCAATGAACATCCCTCTCCAGCAACATCAGCAGATCTTATAGGCACAAGTGCCACCCAAGGCAGTGGGAAGAACAGGCACAGGCAAAACCTACAGCAGTTGGAAGAACAGACTCCCTAGGCTCAAGCACCACCCACACTGATTAGAAGAATGGGCACAGGCAAAACCTGCACCAGCTGGAAGAACAGACTCCATAGGCATAGACACAACTCATACCAGTTGTAAGAACACACCCTATAGGAACAAGTAAAGCCCACACTAGCCAGAAGAACTAGATGATAGCTGGATCCAGGCACTTAAACCCTCACAAACTTCACCTGAGACAACCCTACTCTACCTGACAATCAACCAATCACCAGAAACCTTGGTCATTTTGTTCAAAAGATAAGGAAGAAAACAAACAGTAAAAGGGCAAAAGACCCACCCAACAAGTACATCAAAAGAATCAACACCCATACCTATAATTATCCCGAACCCAGATGTGTGGGCTGCAGTGTAAGTACACATTCAACAACATAAAGAGCAAGATGGGACCACCAGAACCCAGTGGTTCTACACCAGCAAGACCTGAACATCCTAACGCAGAAGAAATAGAAGAAAATAACATTAAAATAACTTTATAAAGATGATAGAGGTCCTTAAAGAGGAAATATAAAATTCCCTTAAAGAAATCAGGGAAAAGACAAAAAAAATTGGGGGAAAAATCAATAAATCCCTTATAGAAAGTCAAGAAAAAAAAAACAACCAAAGGGTGAAGGAAACAATTCAAGACTTGAAAATCGAAACAGAGCCAATAAAGAAAACACAAACCAAAGGAATTCTGGAAATGGAAGATCTGGGTAAATGAACAGGAAATACAGGTGCAAGCATACAGAATGTGAGAGAATACAAGAGGTGGAAGAGAGAATCTCAGATGTTGAAGATATGATAGAGAAAATAGATTCCTCCGTCAAAGAAAATGTTAAATTCAATAAATTCTTAACATAAAATATCTAGGAAATCTGGACACTATGAAAAGACCAAACTAAAGAATAATACTGATAGAAGAACTCCAGCTCAAAGGCACAGAAAATGTATTCAACAAAAGCACAGAAGAAAACTTTTCTAACCTAAAGAAAGACATGCCTATGAAGACATAAGAAGCTTACAGAACACCCAAAAGACTGGACCAAAAAAAAAAAAAAAGTCCCCTCGCCACATAATAATCAAAATGCTAAACAAACAGAATGAAGAAAGAATATTAAGAGCTGCAATGAAAAAAGATCAAGTAACATATAAAGGCAGACCTATTAGAATTATGCCTGACTTCTCAGTGGAGACTACAAAAGCCAAAAGGTTCTGAACAAATGTCTTGCAGATATTAAGAGACCACGGATCCAGACTACTATACCCAGCAAAACTTTCGATCACCATAGATGGAGAAAACAAGATATTCCATGACAAAACCAGGTTTAAACAATACCTATCTATTAATATAGCCCTACAGAAAGCACTAGAAGGAAAATTCCAACCTAAGGAAGTCAGATACATCCACAGAAACACAGGCAATAGATGATCCCATACTAGCAAATCTTAAAGAAGGGAAACACATACACACTGCAACCACTACCACCAATCCCCCAAAAATAACAGGAACTAAAAATCACTGATCATTTTAATATCTCTTAATATCAGTGGATTTAATTTGCCTATAAAGACACAGCTTAATAGAATAGATATGCAACAGTATCTTTCTGCTGCATACAAGAAACACACCTCAATTTCAAAACAGACATTATCTCAGAGTAAAGGATTGGGGAAAGATTTCCAGTCAAATAGACCTAAGAAACAAGCAGCTGTAGCTATCCTAATATCGAATGAAACATGATGGAGGAGGGTCATCTGTCTATTGTTACTTTCATTGGTTAATAAAGAGACTGCCTTGGCTTTTTTGATAGGCCAGCCCTTAGGTGGGTGAGTAGACAGAGCAGAATTGTGGGAGAAAGAAAGCAGAGGAAGAAATAAAGAAATTAAAGACTTCCTAGAATTCAACGGAAAGAAATGCACAACATACCCAAACCTATGGGACACTATAAAAGCAGTGCTAAGAAAAAAAATTTCATAGCATTAAGTGCCTACACATAAAGAAAGTGGAGAAATCTCACACTAGGAACTTAATAACACACCTGAAAGAACAAAAGGAAGCAAACTCACCCAGGAGGAGGACATGATGGGAAATAATCAGTCTGAAGACTGAAATTGATAAAATAGAAACAAAGCAAACAATACAAAGAACTATTGAAACAAAGAGTTGGTTCTTTGAGAAAATCAAGAAAGACAAGCCCTTCCAAACTAGCCAAAAGGGAGAGAGAATATAAAAATTAACAAAACCAGAAAGAAAAAGGGGCACATAATGACATTGAGGAAATCCAGAGAATCATTAGGCCATACTTCAAAAACCTGTACTCAACAAAATTGAAAAATAGAAAAGAAAGGGGCAATATTCTTGATAGGTACCACACACCAAAATTAAATCAAGACAAGATAAACAATTTAAATAGACCTATAACCTCCAAGGAAATAGTCCTTAAAAGTTTCCCAATCAAAAAAGTCCAGAGCCAGATGGTTTCAGTACAGAATTCTACCAGAATTTCAAAGAAGAGCTAATATCAATATTCCTTACATTGTTCTACACAATAGAAATAGAAGGAACATTTCCAAACTTTTTTTTTTAATGAGGCTACAGTTATCCTGATGCCTAAACCACACAAAGATGCAACAAAGAAAGAAATTTCTGACCAATCTCCTTCATGATCATTGTTATACAAA